AGATTTCCCCAGTCAGAATAGCCTTTTTTGAGCCATACACTAACAGCAGACGAATTATCAAATTAAATACAACAATAGCAAAAAACAGCAGCATTTGTAACGGAGTAAATCAACCAACTTCTCTCGACGTCTTCACAATTGATCAACACTTTGAAATAATGCGAGAGCGAAGAACTACACCTCCCTTTATTACAGGAAACGCGAATTCTTTAATTTGATGTGGATCTCTCGCCACCATTCTTACAAGTTAGAGTTTTCCCTAATTTCTTCCCTATTCTTTAAGCTTTTCTTTTTACATTCACTTCCAGACAATTTGTTCCTTTTCTGTTCCATACTGTAATAAAAATATTAAATAAACATTCACACTCCTTCACATAGAACGGAGGGAGTCATTAAAAATGATTAAATATGATGATGCTTATCATCTATTAAAATAGAATAGATAAAATAACGATAAAAATGAGTTGCAAAGCCAGTAAAATTTGTACGTGACATAACTTAATCTTATAATATTAATCGATAGGAGATGATAATGATAATAATAAGCGCAGAGCCCAAACGGTTAAGAGTTAAATGTTGAAATTTGATACACAGTTACGGTACGTCATGAGAACGCACACTAAGAAGGGTTTTTTCGCAATACTCCCCCCGCGGGAAGAGGAAGAGGATTAAGGACTATCTTAAAGAACTCGGCTCTACTGTACTGTTAGATGCGGTGTATTGCGTTTTTGCAGAAAATCCAACATATTTTCAGACCATTTAAAAATTTTATAATTAATCTCGGAAGAGGGAGACGTAATTCTTGCACCCGGTGAAAACAGGCAAGATCGGCTATAAGCTAATAATCTTAATTTTCGCTATCATTACTTTTGCTTGAGCAACGCAGGGCTCACCTTTTAGTAAATAGATAAAGAATATCTGTCAAATTGACTTCTAGCAGCCATTTTGACATACGCCTTTCTTTAATTTGTCATTGTATTGTCCCCACTTCAATGTATATGAATTTAGTAAAAATAGAGCAAAAATTAACGAACGCAAAAGTAGCAAATGCAAATATTTTCTAAGCAATTCTCTCTATCACACACAGAACGTAAAAGTAGTCCAATATTACATAAATAACTTTCTATCTATCACACATAAGCACACGTTCCATACCTGATATATACCCAGTCCATGCAAATGCTCCTTTTTAATTCGAGTAACTATTGTAACAACCTAATCCTTTTCAATGATAATAAGTAGCTACAATTGCTGTAAAAAACAACAATTCTCTTATCTGATCTACTTTTTAAACACAAAATGCGAAGTAGTATAAATGCAAATATATTCTACTGATACTGATATATATCTAATTTACTGATTTAAACACAGCACAGCCACTTGCTACTTCTCCAGACAAACTAACGTTAAAATCAAATATTGTCAGTAATTTAAGCTCAAAGCAGAACTATTAACACTTTACACGTGAAGGGTACCGAAAGCACTTAGGCAGAAACATGCGATAAATCATAAATCGTATACATCAATATCGGAATAACGTAGATCAATATAGAAAAGCGTTGCGTAAAAATTTTTAATTATTTAATGGTTCTAGTAATAATTTGATTTCTCTGCTTATGCCGCCCTCTTAGAGTGCCGCCTGATGCATCCGCCTTTCTCCGTCATAGCACGGCACGGCCCTGCTTGAAAATTGCATAAAAACACGTTTAGAAATAAACATTTAGCAAAACATTAATTGTGTGAGTACTATGGCAATCTGGTATCAATGTTCTTTGTTATTGACTGACCAGAATGACTAAACACGAACGATAGTCAGTGTGTGCATTAGGTTTACAGTTAAGTTAAAAGTACAGTGTAATCCACTTTAATTTTAATCGTCCACTTTCGAAGTTCAACGGGCCACATCCAGAGGTTGACGAGTGACTTGTTTACGACAGGGAAGTTGTATCCTTCCTTGTCCAATGTTAAGGGCAACATCGATATCTGGGTCTCGAGCGGAAAAAATAGCGAGTTTTCCTACGCCTTTCCATGTAGAGCAGATAATTGCGTTTCGTATCCTGATTCATTATTTTATAGAAGTTTATCGAGAAAAACTGAGTAGACCGTTTCTGGACACAACGGATCGATTGGAATGTTCCAAGAGAGAAGACGACACACGTACGGAATAATCTCCTGAACGAGTTATGAAAGATATCTAATAAATCGATGAGACTTTCGAGAACACTTACGCACAAAAACCGGAAGCTTTTGATAATAGTACAATACGAATTGTGGAAGGGGAATCTGCAAAGACGAAACTGGGACATCAAAATGCAATTTATGCCTTTTTGACACGTGTTTTCCTTGTTAGTCGCCCCTCGTTCGTGTTTTGCGATTGGTTTTGTATCACTTTTAAGTAGACGTCAATGTTCAATTCGACACCAAATTCCGATATCGATAGGACTTAAATGTTTGTCCGTCCCCGTTATTGCGTAACGTTTAAATTGGAATTGTTTAATGATTTTTGGTGATTTAGATCTAGAACTTCTGTAAGACAAATTTTGGTAGCGATTCGGACCCAGTCCGGAGCTTCAAACTACTCTGTACATTTGCCGAGAAGTGTGGTTGACGGGGCAGAATCGTGTACGAACACGATTGCCGTTTTTCTATTTTAAAAATAGTAACGGTCGCTGTCGCGGAAAGACCGTTAAGGAAGCAACTGTGGTATTTTTAATGCATGGCCACTGATTGGTCATCAGATCATCACACCACCAGCAGTCCTTCGACAGAGCAGCTAATCACTCGTTGGTTAAGGTTCACAACACTCTACATATTTGCATAGCGTTACAATTGGTAACCGCTAATTTGTCGGCAGGAAATCACGCCACACGTTATTTGCATAGTGCTACAGCTCGGTTATTGACGGCTATAAAAGTATTAAAGGCGAGGATAGCCATTTCTTGTGCTCGGTCGCTACTTGCTTGGCATTTAGGTTGGAGGACTTGCCTTCCATCCATTAAAGGTTTTGTACAGGAATGGTTTGTACTGCATGCCAGATCGGTGTTACCGGTTGAAGCTCCATAAACTTTTTCGAGGAAAGTCCGTATGCTTAGGCGTGTCATCGGCCAGACGAGGATGGTCATTTTTTGCGATTGGTCGCTACTTTCTTAGATCTTGGCTAGGGACTTGTCTTCCACTCGATAAGGGCGCTCTATAGAAGCAGAATGTACCGAATGCCGGATCGGTGTTACCGATTGAAGCGTTCAATAAACTTTATCAACAATAGAAACTTCAGATCTACGTAAGACGTTTCGGAACGTCAGGATATACACTAAGTTCGTAAGTTTTCAAGTGTGTACCGGAGTTCGAGTTAAGTCTGGATTCGTCTCGCTGTTTGTTTTTCAACTGCCGGAAGAAGATTACTACTAGCCAACAACTTGCCGATTCGTCGTAAGGTGTCTTCTTGACGGACCTAATCAGCGTATTTAATTATCTAAACTTTGCTAATGTATTAGATAGAATTAAATAACCTAATAAATAGAGTATAACAATTTGCAGGGCTTATCGCACCGAGGCCGACAGAAAGAAGGACCAGAACTTTTATAACAAAGGTTGGTCTTTAATAATCACATTTCAAATTTAGGTAAGTATGCATTTCGGGTACAAAGACCCTTCATCAGCTTACAAACACATGGTAACAACCTAACAATTACGACGCCAATAACCAGACAATACAACGGAATAACCAACATATGCAGTGCACTGCATTTACAATTTATCAATGTAACCCATACACTGAAATTTAAAATATCAAGTATAAATTTGAGTACAATGACAATGTGGTATAACATATTATCTGGGACGAGTAAAGTCTTAGTTTCTCATACATTTTTTTTCAAATTCTGGTAGATGGTTACACTATTAATAATAAATATTGTTAAGTATATTAAAAACACACAAAAAGAGGAAGGAAGCTAGCAATGAACTTACTCTTATTAAAACCAATTTTAGCACAAACAAAATACATCTGATGTATAAGACTTTGTAAAGTCAACTGCTCTGTCACAATGCATTTTACAAAGTGATGTGACTATACTCCCACATCTGTTCATCATCTGTTTCAAGGTTAAGTAAAAACAATGTCAATCCACTCCTCATGTAGCTTCAGTCCCACGTTGTTATTAATTCTAATGTCTTCTTGTGTTTTCAGAATTTCTAGGTGTTCCATCTTTTGAGTTGATTGTTTTCTAAAAAGACAGCTGCAGGAACAGCCCTGCAAATTGTTATACCCTATTTATTAGGTTATTTAATTCTGTCTAATTTATATGCGTGGGCAAAAAGCGTTTATTATTATTTGTTAATGTAATTAGCGCACCAAGTTGGTCGCCAATTGTGTGAACTACAAACATTGTAAACTTCATTGTGGTCTACTCTCACCAAGGAAAAACCCGCCAACGACGAACTACTAGGTCAACAACGTCATCACAAGCCACCAAGCCGCAAGGCACCCTGCTCTTAAATTCTACTGTGATGTATTGTTCTATATGGATCAACAATGTGATTTCAGTATGTATAATTGTCCATCAGCCAAAATGACACTCTGTACTGTATATTTGTGTCAGGATTATTTTTAATCATTGCGATGCAAGGCAATTATGAGATCCTACCTTTTCTCATCCTTCCAAGATTTCAACTTCACTCTCTTCCTCTCCTCTTTTACTACACACCCTCCTCTCCTTCTTTCCTTATTTTATTACATGGGATAAGTCTCACTACAACCCTTCACGTTTAAACTAAACTAAAGTCTAAAACTTCACAAGTAAAAAGTCTTCATTAAGCAACTATTTAAGACATTTATAAATAATATAATATAGCTCTCAAGTTATTATGTACCCATAAATCATATTTATATTCTTACATTCAAACAGATATAATTACAGTAATAGTTACTTAATTAATTGTTAAATGATATAAAACATATTTCAGTAAATTGATATGAAAATATTAATTGCTTAATATAGAATTGTCCTTGGCATGTTTATTGCATGGGTAGGATTGGCAACGTTAACAGAAATATTAATGAGACTTCATATTATTCCTTTGAAGGCAAGTGAAGGTAAGTGTTTAAAAATATCAAAACAGTCTTTTTACATATTTAAGGGTGAGAATTTACCTATTATTATTATAAAGTTAAGGAAAATGATCTGGAATGCTCTTATTTTCGAATATATTATGAATAGTTCATAAAAATGATTATAAAATAAATGTATTTTTATCAGTTAATTGCACCTGAATAATATTGTTTGTTATTTTTAGGTAGATTTTTTGAGTATATTCTCGGAGCTTCACCTTACAAATCTCTACATAAATTATATTCGACGAATCTCGACGAGAGTACAAAATCGATCTGCGGTGTAAAATTTCTTCTAGTAAATATTGTGGTGTTGGGACATTTATGCACGGTAGGATTGTTTCCCACAATAACAGGTATTTTTCTTTTACTGTAAGATATAATATTTAATATTTATAAATATTTATGCCACAATGTATGCCAAAGGCTTGCCACCATAACACAATTTTAATTGTTCTATTGTTTAGTCAGTTCACTGTCACAGTTAATATGGAGAATGTAATTATATATGTAATATTTATAATTATATGTCACTTTTAATTAATGTATTAGAATGCAGATTATTGTCTTATGAAACAAGAAATTTCTACTTTATCCTTTTTTTATCTGTTAGGGGCCGTGCATAAATAACATAAAGGCGATTTAGGCCATTCGAGACACTCACCCACCCTTGTGTAAGAAACCGTAATTTTTTCTTTGATCTTTCCTTCCCTTCTTTATTTTACGTAATATTTCGGCATGATTTTATAGAAAGATTTTAACAAAAAAATTTTTTATGAAACC